ATCAAAACCTATCAACATGGGATCTAGTTTTGAAGATCTTGACGCGAGGAATCCAATGGCGAAAGCGATTCGAGATTTGAACGCACAGTTTAATAGATAAAACATTTTGAATAAACAGATCTACGAAAAAAAGGGAAAACTCCCAGGTTGCGACGAGTGGCGCACATGCAGCGTGCTGTCGTGGTTCTAAGTCTGACAGTAGAAGGGGGGGGGGGTAGGTATGGAGAGGCAAGATCCTAGCTATGGAGTAGTTGTACATACGAGTGTTTAACGAGTTCAGGCCCTTCTCGGAGGAAGTAATAGCCCTACGTCTCGAAGCCCAGAGGCGGTCGACTGGTTTCTGTGTATATGAGTTACATGGGTGCGAACCCTTCTGCCAGTGGAGAGGGGTGGCTTATATAGAGGATGCCAGGACCCCAGCCTACCCACGTAGCAGAGGGTTAAAGTACATTAAGGCCTGGCGTTACTGGTAACGCCTTACATAAAGTGTCATCATGACCATAAAGACTACTTAATTACAGACCGTTTCGATACAGAGTAGATCCTGAACTCCTGGTGGTCGAGTGAGTCTTCATGGTCGAGTGTCTTCAAGTTCGTCGAGTGTCTTCTAGTCCGTCGAGTGGAATCTCTCTTGGTCGACTGGAAGATAGCTTCTTCTAAGGATGTCCTTGGGTAGGGTATCCTAGATAGGTTCATGACCCTACCCTAGGTACATGACTTCATCATTAGCCCCCGAATGGATCGAGGTTCGAGTGAGGAAGGGGTTGATAATTTTCTCCGACCTATTTCCCGTGCTCTGATTATGTCGTATCCTGGATCGGCGATTTTTCTTTTCTGGCGTTGGCATCAACCTTTCTTTCAGTCGCCTTGATCCATTCTTTTCTTCTGTCGAGTGAACTTTTGAACTTAGAGAACTTCCGAGCGACGGATCGCAGGAAATCTATTGTTTGACAGATTGATCTGCCGTTAGCGGATTTTGTGGGATCCGAATTTTGGGAAGCGCGCGAAGCGGGGCGGACCGCGGTACTCGGATGGGATAAGGCATGGACGCCTCGATTCCCGTGCCGCCTTTTTTTGCCACGTATCATGCGTGCGCGACTGTTTTGGGATGTGACAGGACTGCTCGGGCCTACTTGTCAGCCACTCGGAAGCGTCCTTATATAAAGCGCCGGGCGAGGGTTTTTGAACAATGCCTTCCCATTCCCCTCTCTGCCTTCTTTGCCTCCGCCCGTTGTGCCTGCTCTCGCCTCCGCTTATCCACTCCCCGCGTGCTTCGCTGACGACAATGGTGAAGGAGAAGACGACGGCATTGGAGCGTGCGAAGAAGGCGACGGCGGCGGGGAAAGCAAAGGGGAGAGCGTCCAGTGGGAGCGGATCTTCGTCAAGATCCCGTCTGCCAAAAGGTTGGGTCCAAGGGGATTGGATCCGTTCGACCATCACCGAGACGGATCTCAATGACCTGGCCAACGAGGGTCTGATCCCCCATGGGTCAGCAAGGCTTCCGGGGTCCGAGTGTCAACCGCAGCCGCAGGAGGGTGAGTGCGTTCTCCTAGCCACTCATATAGATCGTGGATTCTCTCTACCGCCGAGTGTTTTCTTCCGAGGGTTTCTGAACTTCTTTGGGGCGCAACTCCACCATTTCACTCCCAATTCCATCGCCCATCTTGCTCCTTTCGTTTCCATGTGCGAGAACTTCCTGGGTTGTCGACCACATTGGGGTCTCTTTAAGCACATATTCACCTGTCGCTCACAGACGGTGAAAAAGGCGAGTCCGGGTGACGAGAGGACTAAGGTTATCCAGATGTGTGGGGGTCTTGGGATTCAGATGAGGAATAAGAGCACTTTCCCGGCCATGACCCTTCCTGAGTCGGTCAGAGGGTGGCAGTCGACTTGGTTCTACTGCCAAGACGAGTCGACGCCTGGGCAGTCGACTGGTCTCCTCCGTTCTCCATGGACCGAGTGGACAAACCATCTTCTCTGAAGGTGCTTCCTGAGGAGAAAGCCCAGGTAAAAATGTTGATGGAACGCGTAGTCCAACTCGTTAGGGATGGAGTGACGGGTATGGATCTTCTGGAGGTCTTCCTTAGACGGTGCATCCAACCGCTTCAGTACCGAGGCCACCCGATGTGGTTGTACTGTGGTACCGAAGACACCACTCGGGTCCATCCAGAAGCGTTCGACGACGCCACACTAGAGAGGTGGGTGGCCGCAATCACAGGGAATAAGGACAACCCTCGAGGGGCTAGGAGGATTCGACCACTCGACTGTACCTATACACCGGACACGGTATGGCCACTTATTTCCATTTGCAATCTTGCTTTATCCATTCTGCTTCGCCGCGAATTGGTCGATTAATCTTTGTTTTGTTGTCTGACAGGCCACCACGGAGTTATACTCGATGCCCAATGGGGCGCAAACACGGGCTGAGGAGGAGGAAGGAAGTGGGGGCGAAAGCCCGGAGGAGTGGGATTCG